TTGGGAACAGTATATCCATCCTGCGGAATTTGGTATGTGGGCAGGTGGACGTGACTATCGAAGAGGTCCAAGTAGAAGTCATGGATAATCTTCTCATCTTCTCCATTGCCCTTCTGGAAGATGTGATAGATCCATCAGAACGTTGGAGGGCAGTCATCTTGGTCTTGTAGTTGGCCAAGGACAGGCGGGCATTGTGAATGATTTTCCTGGCTTCTGCTACATCGACCAGCACTGCTGCTCTTCTGTCTTTGAGGTCTTCCTTGATCGCTTCTCTGCACTGCTTTGCAAGTTCAGGCGTTTGCTTGCCCGAGGCTTGCGCCAAGCCACATTGGTGAATGAGCTCGAGAGTTTTCGAAGACAGGCATCTTTTTGTGGCTATCTCTCTCCGTGTTCCTCACACAATCATGGAGGTGCTGAACCAGTTGATCGTATTCTTTGTCAATGTTGTCAACGACGGCATCTTTCCATGTTGCCGCAATAGTGTCAAAGAGCTCCCAGTTGGTAGTTGTTCTGGGAGTTCTCTTCTTAAACTTTGCAGCCCTTTCTCCCTGCTCCATGAAGTAGAATTTTGCACAAAGGAGATAGTGGTCCAATCCCATTTGGAATTTTGGGACAACAGTGACATTGGTCAGGCAAAACCGTCGATTGAATATGATGTGGTCAATTTCATATGATGTGGTCAATTTCATTGTGTAACCGTCCACCAGGAGACTCCTATATCCAATATTTAGATTTGACCTACTGCAACTGTGAGTTTCCATGGATGGTCTTGGTCAACATGATGAACTCAGACAGTCTCTCACCCTGTTCGTTCCATTTTAGGCCATGGGTCCCAATGTGGAGTTTTTGGTCTGATCTTCTCGGTCCTATCTTGATATTAAAATCACTGACAATGATCTTATAGAAGGTGTGGTCTTCTTTAGAGAACTTCTCCAGCTCCATGTAGAACTTCTCCATTTCTTCTTCATCGTAATTAGATGTTGGTACATAGACAATGAAGATAGAAACTGCTGGCAGTAAACCACATCTATTCAAGTGTAATCATCCGATGTGGGTTTTTAGGCATTTAAATGAATCAATGCTCATGGCTAAGTTCGTGTTAACAAGGACACAGACACCATCGATGCCTCTTTTGTCGCATGTTCCGAGGAACAGTTCTTCTCCAGTGTTGAAAATGGCGTGATGTGGTTGATGCCTTCTTGTCTCGGTCAGACCAATGACTTGGTTTAGACACTTTGGCAAAAGTATTATTTGCATTGTAAGGAGTAACCCAAAAGGTAGAAGAGCTGAGGTCAGGGTGATAGTACAGAGGGTAGGGCATCTGCCTTGCACGGGGCCACCCTGGGTTCGATCTCTGGCAACCCATGTGGTATCCTGAACTTGCCAGAAGTAATCCCTAAGTGTTAAGCCAGGAGTACATCCTGAGCACTTCAGAGTGTAACCCCAAAGCAAAAAGAAGAGTTGTGCTTTGACAGTCTCAGAAATGCAGGTCTTCTCTAAGGGTTATACCACAGAGAGAGAGACTTAGTTACCAGGCGGACACATGTTAAGAGCAATTAGGAATGACTCCTAAATTGAGAATGTGCAAATTTCCTCTAGAAAATAGTGTTAGCAGTTATGGGGTGGGTGCAGTGAAGGTGGAGGTTTCATAATGAATCCTTTGAATTAGATGCTTTTGAGACTTCAGAGTTAGAAATATAGTTGGAATATGAATCTTAGCACAAAGTTTTGGGTTAGAGCAATGCTTCCAAGTTATGACTTCATGTGATAAGATGTGTAAAGATGCCCCAAGGAAAGAAAAATAGAATTTGAAAACCTGACAAGTTTTGACTTTGGTGAGGAAAGTGGATGTTTCCTATGTTTTCTTATGTTGAGACATGTAATACCTGAAGTGGGAGACGTACAGTGTAGCCTCAAGTGTAATTGTGGGACCTCTTCTGTTTGCTTTTAAGGTAGAATTCCAGGGGATTGCTGAGTAATGTGTTTTCTGCAAGATTAAGTAGGCCAGTTAAGTTTGGGAACCCGGTTCATGTATCTTTCAAAGACTTTCTATTCTATAATTTGATATTCTATAATTCATATATTCAATAATTCTGTTCTGAACTCATAAAAATTTAGTTTCAGAACAGTATTAGCTTATTATACCAGTATTATACCTTGCTGTGGTATATAAAATTTTTAATTTTGCCTTATTACAATAAACATTTTATATACAGTTTCTAAACCTTATTCAAATACTCTGTTCATAGTATTTCCATTCTTCTATGGAATTTTTGCAAACCCCGGCAAACATTTCTTCATTTAGTTGCAGGGTCTTTATTTTACTTCTGGGGAAAAAAAAGGATAGGAGGTAGTTAGTCTTCATTAAATATTTTTTACACATGATTTAGTTTGTTTCTCAAAGATGTGCTATATTGTCATTTAAATCTAGGTTGACTGAAAATAGAACATAATTTGAGTCAATATATCATGATAATAAAGGAATCAAATTTTTGTATAAGTTAATGGGAGTCCATTAAAAATGCTTTTGCCTAAAGAAAAGATGGGTGGGAACATTTAGACGGACAGCTATTGGGGTCTTTTGTAGAGAAAAAAAAAACATTTCCTCATGGAACTTAGGCATGGAATGAGTGCAAAACTTACTTAGTGTTAAATATCTTTTCTTTCCAATGTCATATCTGTGTGAAGACAATTTGCTTTACTTAACAGCCACTTCATCACTTACTGTCTGAGCAGAGTTTGGTTGATTATTTGGAAGGTTTGTGGTAAAAGAGAATTGTGCAAGTGAGGGTAAATGAATCAGATCTGCTCTGGGTTTCTTGCCAATATTTTTCTTTTCTTCAAGTAAAGTAAAGTAAAGTAAAGGCCCTCCCGTTGATCGTCGATTTGCTCGAGCGGGCCCAGTAACGTCTCCATTGGAGACTTTGTTGTTACTGTGTCTGGCATATCGAATACTCTCGGTAGCTTGCCGGGCTCTCCGAGAGGGGCGGAGGAATCGAACTCGGGTCGGCCATGTTGGCCGCGTGTAAGGCGAACGCCCTACCCGCTGTGCTAAGAAATTTGAGTAAATTAGGTGGTTGAGTAAAAAGCCCTACCTAAAATTAATAATTATTTATTCAAATGAGTTAATAGTGTAAGAGTTTTAGGCTTACATGGTACTAGTTTAATTTACAAAAACCTATTAGTTTCTAAAGCTGCATTTCGTGTTCATTCACATTTTGAACAGGTCATTAAGTGAAAAGCTAATGACCTTTGTACTGTAGCACTTAATTGTTATGTTTCCTATAGCACAGTAAATAATCAAACATGAAGATGTTTTAGAATCACTGAGGACATCTGTGAAATGGATTACGGAATCTTATTCCAAGTTTGACTCAATAGATTGAAAGTGGGGGTTCAGAATTTGCATTTTAACATATTTCCAGATGCTGCTGCTGATGCTATTTTGAGGACCATACATGAGAACCACTACCAAAGCAGACTGACCTACCCAAGTTGATTGAGCTCACCAAGAGTAGAACTTAGTTATTACTCCTTTATTCATTTTTTTTAATTACTACCAATCAATTCCATTTTGTTTTTGTTTGGGGGCTACACTGCTTAGTGCTCATGACTTCCTCCTGCCTCTGTGCTTAGGTATCCCTCCTGGCACTGCTCAGGAAACAATGATCTGGGGTGGTGCAGTATATCACAATAGAGTTGGCTATGCACATGGCAAGTACCTTACCCCTGCATCATATCTCCAGCCCCTACGAAGCAATTCTTAAAAGTGACAGGGCCTCGACCAGACTGTTAGTACAGAAGGTGTGCTTTCCTTACTTATGGCTGGCCCTAGTTTGGTCCCTCACATCGCATATGGTCCCAGGAACACTGCCAGAAGTGATCACTGTACAAAAGTATTAATTTTACAGGACAATTATCAACTATTCTATTACTCTTAACTGACCTTCTGACATTAGTCCTGAGGAAGTACTTGAGGTTCTAATTCTGGTCAGATAAAGGTTTTTATTAAGCTTACCTTTTTCTACAAGTAAAATAAGGATTCCATTAGAATTCTTTTTTTGATTGAGGATGGGGGTTGGGCTAAACCCAGTGGCTCTCAGGGCTACTCCCGGCTCTACTCAGCAGAGATACTGATTGTGCTCAGGAGACCATATGCAGGATCTGCCACATGCGAAGCAAGTATCTTACCCCCAACTAATCAACCCCTCTGCTATGATTGTTGCACATGGTTTCACGTTTTGGTGCATTTTTTTAAAAAAACCCCCCATCTTTTTTTCCCCATTACTAGGGTGCGGCTGTATGCATGAACAAGAGTCTTTCCTTTTCTTTCTAAGTAATGGATGCTACTGAAATGTACCAAGTTCATGTCCTTGTTTTGTGTAGAACAAAAGGTCAAATTTAGGGAGCTAGTCCCAAGTTTAGGGAGTCAACATCTAATACTAGCAAAACAATTTTTAAAGTAAGATTGAGAAATTGTAGCATAAGAATGTGCCAATCCCTATACTCTTTAATTAAACTAGCAAAGAATACGCTAAGATTTTAGCAAGAATTGTTTACTCTGGCAGTTAAAATCATTATTATGTCTATTTATGTATCATTAATAATAGAGGTTTCTTGTTCAGAATTTCAATGGGTGGCATCAGTAGCTGTCTGAGTAGACATACTATGTTCTGCAGATACACTCCCTTCAAAGTAGATAAGATTGTTGTTTTTACACATAGAAGTTAACACTTGCACACAGTACAAGGTTTGAGGAGAGTCACTTCTCCAAGACTGAAAATGGGGGGAGATTTTCATGCTCATACTTAACCTTCATGTGTAGGTATCACATTAGAGGGAAGAAGTACATCTGCGACATAAGGACCTTCCCGTTTTACTTTTTTTATCCTAGATGACTAACTCTAAACATAGGGCTTTTTTATGCATTGCATATCATTTTGTCTTTGTTGAGAATCTTTAGCAATCAGTGTTCTAAGATTCTTTTTCTTTTTCCTCAGATATCCAGAAAGTGGTACTGTAGAAATAAATGTCAAGGATCTTCGACCACGAGCTAGAACCATTTTGAAATGGAACGAACTAAATGTCGGTGATGTGGTAATGGTTAATTACAATGTCGAAAGTCCAAAAGATAGAGGATTTTGGTTTGATGCAGAGATTACTACATTGAAGACAATCTCCAGAACCAAAAAAGAGCTTCATGTGAATATTTTCTTGGGGTAAGATTCTCTTCACTGATACCACCTACTTATTGAATTAATGGGTTTGGTTTTTGCTTTTGCAATTCCAAGAATCATTGTGTATGCTCGAGGCCACTCACACTCAAGGCATGTGATCTCTCCACTCAACCACATCTCTGGACCAAGACATGCTATTCTTAGAAATTAAGTTTATGTTCCTTAGTTTAGCTGTAGAATCTGTCAAAGATAGAAATTTAGAACCTTTCAAAATAAATTCTTTTAACTTTTTCTCATGAATAGTCTATAAATTTCTATGGCTACTATAATATTAGAAATATTATTTGAAACATCTTGGAAATTATATCCCCAGTTGTAGGGGTGTTAAGCATGTGCTCTACCTCTGAACCACATCCTCAGCCTGTAAATAATATTTTATTAGAAGTATCCAGCCTTCCAGTAGTGAATATCTACAAAATTAAGATTTATCTGCTGGATTTGTTAGATTAACTGACGTTTTTCTTCAGTTATTTTCCTTAACTTGTAGAAGTAATATACTTATGAAGATAATAAACAACATACCTATTTCTGTAATTAAATTTTGTCTTGCCTTAGCCCCTTGACTACTATCTCTCCAGCCCTCTGTCATTATTGCAAGTATTTCCTCAAATGGCTTACTATGATGCATTGACACACAATTATCTTTATTTTTTTTCACTTATGTACATAATTATCAACATCTCTCTGGTTCTTCTAAAGAGTATATTTATCTTTTTGGAGGGCAGGGGTACAGGTTGAGTGGCATATGAGTATCTCTGGCTTTAGGAACTAGAACTCAAAGTGAGTATAAATTGTAGATAATTCACATGGTCCTCCGAACTCCACCAAAAGTGATCCCTGAGCAGACAAAGAGCCAGAAGTAAGCCCTGAGCATTGCTGAATGTGAACCCCACCCCCCAAAAAAAGACAAAACAAAAAATAAAATGTTTTGTCATGTAGGGCATTTGTCTTATATATACATTGACCAGGGTTCCATCTTCTGACACACACGGTCCTCTGAGCTCCACCAGGAGTGATCCCTGAGCAGAGAAAGAGCCAGAAGTAAGCCCTGAGCATGGCTGAATGTGAACCCCACCCCCCCTCCCAAAAAAAGACAAAACAAAAATAAAATACTTTGTCATGTAAAGTACTGTGTTCTTTTTTTTTTAATTGTCCCCATGGCTTGGTGTGTATTGTATACTAGTTTTGTAAAGTGTATCATGCATAGGAGTAAAATTGCTGACTTGTGGAATCTATACATCTTCACTTTTAGTAGATAGGAGGAAATATTCAATTGATTATACCAGGTTACAGCTACTCGTGATGTGTTCGATATGCCAAACACAGTAACAACAAGTCTCACGATGGAGATGTTACTGGGCACACTCGAACAAATCGATGAACAACGGGAGGACCAGTGCTACAGTGCTACACTTCACAGCAGTATGAAAGCTGCCATTATAGTGCATTCCCCTCTGTCATTAATTTTGTCAGACTTGGGGTTTTGTTAGTATATAATAAAATAGTGAGGGATAGTGAGTGCTGGAGCAATAGCACAGCAGGTATGGCGTTTGCCTTGCAAGCAGCCGACCTGAGTTCGATTCCTTCGTCCCTCTCAGAGAGCCTGGCAAGCTACTGAGAGTATCCCACCCTCACGGCAGAGCTTGGCAAGCTCCCCGTGTCATATTTGATATGTGAAAAGGAGTAACAAGTCTCACAACGGAGACGTTAATGGTGCCCACTTGAGCAAATTGATGAACAATGGGAGGACAGTGCTACAGTTCAGTGAATAATAAAATAGTATCATTCTTGCTTTGATTTGACTTGTCAAGGAATTGACTACTAATAAGATTGAGAACCTTTTTTTAAAAAAATATTTTTATTAGTGAAACACCATGAGGTACAGTTGTAGACTTAGAAATTTTTGTGCTTGGGTTTCAATTATACAATGATCAAATACCCATCCCTCCACCAGTGCCCATTTCCCACCACCACGGATCCCAGTATCCCTCCCACCCCGCATCCTCCCCATCCCACCCTGCCTCTGTGGCAGGGCATTCCCTTTTGTTTTCTCTCTCCTTTTGGGTGTTGTGGTCTGCAAAAGAGGCATTGAGTGGCAATCATGTTCGGTCCATAGTCTACTTTCAGCATGCATCTCCCCTCCTGGGAGTATCCTCCAAACACCCTTTATTTGGTGCTCCCTTCTCTATCTGAGCTGCCCTTTCCCCTAGAATGCCCGGCTGGCCTCTAAGCCATGGAGTAATCCTCCTGGTACTGATCTCAGCTATTCTTGGGTATAGCCAAGTGCAGATGTCACTTCGACTATACATTTTTGCCTTTCTGGGATATATTCCCAGGAGTAGTATTGCTGGGTCAAATGGGAGCTCAATTTCTAATTTTTTGAGAATCGTCCATACTGTTTTCCGAAAGGGCTGAACCAGTTGGCATTCCCACCGACAGCGAAGGAGTGTCCCTTTCTCGCCACATCTGTGTCAGCATCGGTTGCTTTTGTTCTTTTGGATGTGGGCCAGTCTCTGAGGTGTGAGATGGTATCTCATTGTGGTTTTGATCTGCATCTCCCTGATGATTAATGATGTAGAGCATTTTCTCATGTGCCTTTTTGCCATTTGGATTTCTTCTTTGAGAGTTTCCGAGAACCTTTCTTTTTTTGGGGGGTGCTACACCCATATGTACTCAAGGGTCACTCCTGGTACTCTACTCCAGGGTTATGCCTGCAGTGTTCTAGGGACCTTATGTTATATCCAGGCTTTGAACCAGGTTTGTGGTTGTAGCTGTGTGCAAGGAAAGGCCTTAAGTTGTGTACTCTCTCTAGGCCCCAGAACCTTTCCCTAACATTATTAGCAATTTCAGGGCCATGTTATAAACATTGCTATTTTTTCATCTGTCTGTATTCTGATTTGGGGATTGGGAGGACGTTTTCAGGCTACACCCAGAAGCAGCCACTTCTGCTCTGCAGAGTCACTCCTAGCTCTGTCTGGGAGACCTACTGTGATGCTTGTAAACCAAGCATTTGACCTTTAATGCTCTCTCTCCAGTCTGCCTTTAGGCTTTTTAGATCTCATGGTAGGGGCTTGGCTGTTAGTAGTTACATGTAGAGAAAGTACCTTTCCCCCTCACCCCCAGTATGTGGTTTAATTTTCTGTTATATTTGAATAATCTTAATTTGTTTTTGTTGGTTCTGTTTGCAGAACCTAGGACTTAATGTTAGTTTTCTTAGTTTTGCATTATTATTACTTTTTTACATTCGTGCTATATTTTGCTTAAGAAATCTCTGTGTGTGTATGTGAAATGGGTGAAGGTGGTGAAAATGCGTAAACCTAAAGAAATGAGTTCTGGGGATGTAATATATGAAGCACAGTGATTATTTGGAAATTTTATAGATCAATTCTAAAGTGTGTATAGAACCATGAAAGATCACAAATAACCAGCACATTTCTAAAATAAAAGAATAAATATGTGGACGTTACATTCCCCAACTTCAAGCTGTATTACAAAGATAATAATAATTCAGACAGAAATATTAAAATAAAATGACATAGACCAATGGGAGAGCATAGAGTGTCTAGAAGTAGACTCATAAGTATATGGACATGTAATCTATGATAAAGGAACCAAGATACTACAGTTGGAAGCTGGGGGAGGAACTTTAAAGACATTAAATCACAATTTAATACTGCACATAAAAATTAACTCAAAAAGGATCAAAGATACTGTGTTTTGTCTTTGAAAGACCCCAAACCATCAAATACATAGAAGACAGTATAGATAATATTTTCAAGTAGCCTGACATAAAATGTATTTTGAGGACTCTAGCTTCATTAGCAAGGAAAGTGAAGCAAGATTAAACAGTTAGGTTCATATCAAATTAAAAAGCTTTGATACTGAAAAGGAATCACAAAAACAATGGCAGCTTAAAAATTTCAAATTAGGGAACTGGAGCAATAGCACAGCAGGTAGGGTGTTTGCCTTGCACACGGCTGACTCAAGTTCGATCCCCAGCATCCTATATGGTCCCCTGAGCTCCGCTATGGGTAATTCCTGAGTTCAGAGCCAGAAGTAAGCCCTGTGCATCTCTGGGTGTGACCCAAAACAAAAAAAATTTGGATTAGGAAAAAATATTTAGTCCATTCACATGCATGGCAATGGCTGTGTATCTCGAACATATCACTTCACTTGATCACTTGACACCCCGTTCTAGAACATATCACTTCACTTGATCACTTGACACCCCGTTCTTCATTGATTTGCTCGAGCAGGCACCAATAACATCTCCATTCATCCCTGTCGAGTGCTAGTGTAGCCCAATGGTGTCTGCTCTCTTCAGGAACACAAAGAGCCTCAAAACTATTGTTCAGGGTCTTGATGAAGAAGTCTGACCATCTCATAGGTGGGCAGCCACCCGATCTTTTGACATCTTGTGGAATCCAGTCTGTAACGGCTCTAGGCCAGCAGTCGTCTCCAAATCACATTAGGTGTCCAGCCCATCTGATTTTCGACGCCTTGGCAAACGAGACAGCATGCCTGATTCTTGATCGTCAATGGAGGTCTGGATTCCTTCTCTCACTTGAATGAAGCATGATACTCCAAGCATAGCTCTATCTATTCCTCTTTGGGAGACTCAAACAGCATTCTCATCCTGTTTTCGTAGGGCCCAGGTCTCTGAGGCATATGTTAATGCAGGAAGAACAGTGGCATTGAAGAGATGTGTCTGGAGCCGGAGGTTCTTCATCCTCTTAATTTCTTTGACACTCTTGAAAGCGTTCCAAGCCACTCTCTTCCTCTTGTGCAACTCAGGTGCCAGGTCATTCGTCATTGTTGACTTCTCGACCTAGATATACATAACTGTTGCATTCAGAGATGTTCGTTCTGTTGAGAGCAAATGGAAAATCAGGAATGAGTCCATTTCTCATGAACATTGTCTTTGTGAGATTCAACTGTAGTCCAACCTTTCCACTCATGGTCGAAGTCGGCCATGATTTGTG